AGTAATCATTTTCAATTTAAATTGATGAGTCATCTGATCGGCTTTTATAAAAACCACAAATCTAACCATTTAGCTGATACTGATCAGTGGCTGGGGGTATAAATCAGAGTGAACGTGTATTCAAATGTATCCTCTCTGACTACTTCAGTCCAAATCAGTGTGTGTGTGTGTTTAAGAAAAGAATGGCTGCACCAATACACACCCCTCCCTTTCAACCTACCCCAAAGCATTTTGACAATCATCAACTGTGGCCCTTCACAAAAATCAACATCACCTGTGACCCATGGCCTCCACTCCGCCATTCTAAAGCAGGGCCTCCTGCAGGGTTCGGGCGGGGGGGGCGGTGTTCGGGGGGGCTCCGCGGGGCTCTGTTTGTCATGCTAATCAGCTGGCCTAACCTTAACGACCCAGACATCTGCTGGTCTGCGTGTGTCAAGCCCCACATTCAATTTGTTCCCCAGATACAAAAAGTAGATAAGACCCTTGAGGCTGGTAAGAATGTCGGTGTGTGTGTGTGTGTGTGTGTGTGTGTGTGTGTGTGTGTGTGTCCTTGCTGTTGATGGGTGGAAGAGAAAAATCCCTCTATTTTCATGCATGTACTAGAGCAATTATTGCCAGCAGAGAAAAGAGAGCTAAAGTGTGTTCAATGCTAAATTCTGTGTGTATGCGTGTGCACGCTTCAGTGTCTAGTACCCCCCACCATCCAACACACACACACAGGAACACGTGTGTGTGTGTGTCTGTGTGTGTGCAGCAGAGCGACGGAGAAGGGGTGGGGGGAGTTTGTTTAATGGGCGAGACAGGGGACCATGGGGATTAAGCTCCCCCCAGCTGGAGGCTTTAGAGGAAAGGCTGGGGGCTGTCCTGTTAATTCAAGTGGGCTTAATAATGCCTGTGCCCCCTCTGCCCCTGACCCTCCCACCACTACATCAGATCTGGGAGGAAACGCATGATAAAGGGAGACAAGCAAGAGGAGGGGAAGGAGGAGGGAGTGTGTCAGTGCGTGTGTGTGCGTACAACCTGTGGCCATCTCTACACTGGAGCATGGGCTCGGGGGACTGCAGAGAGATTTCGCCTCCATATTACTTCGCTGCTCTCCGGCTTTGGCAACGGGCATTTCTGTTGCTCCACTTTCACACCACAGCCAGCTTTGTTGGAGCTGCATTAGGATTAATCAACACCAAAAACAATATGGCAAATGCTATCAACTGGGTCAAGCGCTGTGCCACTATCAAATTAGGCTTTTTCCTATTAAACCAATGCACTGTGCCCGGAACAGTGGATTAGAAATGCAGTCTTTGACTTTAAAAGCTAGATGAATCCTCCCTAAACCTGGGTCTACTTTGTGTCTAAAAGGGACAACTATCTGACATAAGCAAAACCAATGCAATGTTTCTACATCCTGGCAAATCTATTAAAAAGGGAAGCACCTCCACTAGGAATGACTAACGTCTGAGCACACAATATCTACCCAAATAACAAGGAACAAAATGTCAAACTGTGGATGACGGAGATTAACCCGTAAAGAGCATCTGTAAAGAAAGCTAATGGGAAAGAATGACCCGCGTATTAAGGCCCGGACACACCAATCCGAGTAGGGCGTGTCGACGCTCATCGTCGGCCTGACGCCCATCGACGGCCAAAATCGGCTTGGTGTGTCCGGGCCTTTAGACAGGAACATCTCTCTTGTTTCTAAGTAAGCATCAGCTAAAAGCCATGCACGAGGCTCTTTATCTTACACTTTAATTTACAAAAAAAATAGCTTTGAGTATCCAAGCAAGGCAAACATCTTCTATCGGCTTCTCCATGAAAAGCTTATACATAATTGTAATGCAGTTGTGACGACCACGCATCACCACCGTTGCCAAATCCTCTGCTGCTTTAAATCCTCACACGAGAGGATCCTTGATTGTGCCTTCCATGGTGGGAATGTAGCGCTTTTGTTCACATCACACTGAATTGTAACGCTAATGGTACTGCAGAGAGAACAAAGGAAAAGAGAAGGAAAGCATATTTGGTGCTGACCGAGTCATTTTGAGAGATCCATCATCTGTCATTATGAGACAGTGCTGTTACTCTCATCCTCCAGCTCCTTATCTTTGACACTCATATCTATATGAGTGTCACATATTCTCCCCATCCTCAGGCCCCTGTGACAGGAGCAGCTGAGGAGGAAGAGGATTGAAGAAGAAGACGTGTGTGTACTGTATATTTATGTTTTAAGCCAGAGGAGAGGGTGGCGGGGGGGGGGGGGGGGGGTCGACACACAGGTGTATTTGTGGAAATGGCTTGTTGTAGCAGGTTAAGGCTGAAGCAGCTGCAGAACGAGGGAAGGGACATCCTAAATTCCCAAACCCCATATTTAATCCTGTGTGCCGGGTCTTAATGCTCCAATCAAGCAGCATAAGGGCACTCAATTGGATTAGAAAAATAACCTGCTCTCAGAAAGGCAGGCAGGCGGTATGGAGGGGCCCAGCTGCTCTCACCTTGGAGAAGGTGAGTGATTTCTCACCCCATCAGGAGGTGCCTCACCCAGAGGAAGGAGGGTGGTAAAAACAGGGCTCTTAAGTGACATTTCGTCCCAGTAATTTGCTCAATTAAGTGAAGCAATATATTATCTTAAAATAATTATGGAACAGAATATTACAAATATGGCCGCAGTTCTGTTTCTACAGCCTAACTTGAAGAGCAAACATAACAAAACTCCACTCCTTAATTGGGCTTGTCAACTAGCCAGAAGCTTGCTCGTCATACCTTTTTCTACCAAAAATGATTCCATATATGGAAGTCTTTTTATATGAATGTGTTTTGACTTTTGAGTTGTATGATGAAAAGGAAACAATAGAGTCCCCAAAGTATTTTGCACCCTAACTATGTTTTCCCTTTACACCTGAAAAAGTGGCTTTTTATGTGAAACAAAAAGGACTTCTTTGATTGAAGATATGTTTACAGACGAAAGCAAAGTAGGTTTTTTGATTTTCTGTTTGAATTGTTCCTTTAAAAACAAACAAAAATCCTCTTGGATCATCAATTTCAGAACACTTAAGTCAAACTCAGTAGGATGAGCAGCTTATACAGGATTTCACTTATCTGACAAGCCAGGCCAGAGGTTCACAAATCCTCACATCCTGCTGTCTGAAACACACATGAGCTGACTCCCATCAGCAGCAGCAGCACAATCAGGCTGCCACACACACTGGCTGCCAAAGGGCAAACACATTCATGTCACAAAGACTTTCAGGTTCTAGCTCCGGTAAACAGCTCTTCTGCTTTGAGTAGTAGAATAACTTGCGGTGGAGACAAGACGTTGCCAGGGAGAAGCAGTGGGCACAGTCCCTGGCGACATAAAATACTTTCTGCTGTTGTGTTTACCTGCGCTGCACTGACATGCACACACACATTTGTGTTAGATTCGCCCTTGCAAAGGAAAGATGAAATGGCAGCCAAAACCTGAAGGTGAAAATACAGGCTAGTCACTACATGTGGGTTCCTTTTGGCACAGTAATAAGCCAATTAAGTTGACTTATTTATTCAATTTTAAGTACCGGGAAAAAAAACGCCAAATGTTTTGTTGGGCGATTAATCCAAGAAAGAAAAATCGAAACATTTGTTGGTCAAAGCTTCTCAAATGCAATGATTTTATGCTTTTTGTTGCAGTACCAGGTTATACAAAGGAGTATTCAAGGGTGTTTTTATTTAAAATGAAGGCGCCTTCAACTGTTTTATGGCATATTTATAAAAAAAACCCGATTAATCCATTAAATCAGAAAATAGTCAAGTAAACATCAGACAACGTAACACATATAGGGTTTTCAGTAACCAAGGCTAAAAAGCGAAGATTAATGTCGGCACAAAACTCTCTTTTCGCGATACTCTTCATAGGTCTTGCTCGTTTGCCATTAGTCTGCACAACATAAAGAAATGTTGCGTCTTGCAAAAACACTGTTAAATAAAGTGTTTTTAAACGAAATTACTTGCAATAAACCGATATAAAGTGCACTTTCTGTGAATTCCAGCAAATTGCTAATTGATTATAGAAATAAAAAGGAGATTATTCCCATCATTCTTTTACTCAACAACGTTTTATTCTCTCACACAAACTAAACTACTGAATTGCTGAAATAATAACTTCTGCAAAGTTGTAATGACAGACATATCTGCATATTTTCACAGTGACAAGTAACACAATTCAGGAAGTCACTTAACATAAATGTTTGACCAATGGGCTGAGAGCCCTCATCCCTGATGAATACATGCCCTGGACTGAGTCTCTGTTACCATGGAAACTTGAGATTTAGGGGGAACAGAGGAGATGTGAGCCTTTTACAGTTATACAAAAATAGTGTACAATGAATTGTGAGTGGTTGACAACACCACTATATTTTGCTACACCTACACCCCAAGACATTAAACATACATTATGGCACTTTTTTCAGAATGTAGCCCATTGAAAATGCACTGACACAAGGGTGAACACATCTTATAGTTGTGAAATGTGACAGCACTTATTAGATTTTTACAGGAGTCCATTATCTGGGGAACAGTTAATGGACTCCAGTTTAAATCCCGAATACAAAATGTTTTAGTACTTTGCACTATTGTAATGTAAATTACCCAATGTCTATACTGTAGTATATTTCCATTTGAGTATTGGGAATATGTATACATTTGCTGTTAATATTATTTGTTATTATTTATATATTTATTTTATCTTTAACTCACGTGCAATGCTTCACAACACTGCTCCCAATTAGGGATGAATAAAAGTATCAATCTTTTCTCAACCATTATGTCTCTATTTTATAATGCCAAATTACACCTCTTCTGTCAAATGTACCATAATTAAACAATGCAATGATTACTGCCCAAAACTTTGTTCCTTATCATACCTCTTTACATTATATTACTTGCAAAAAAACAAGTGGCATGCATACTTTCACCTAATAACTACTGTAGAGTCTATATTTCTGCAAAAAAATGTCAAATTGAAAACCACTTACTGAGTGTCTTGATTGTGGAAACATCATGTCAATTCCTTGTTGTAGCTCTCCTTCCCAAACACCAATCAACTGAGTGCGTTGTGTTTATATTTCTCCTTGCGTTGGTCCTTTGTCCAAAGCTAGCTCTGCCTGCCTCGCACAGGAGCTGTCCAGCGTTAGCACAGGATGCTAACGGTAGCTAGCGACCCCACTAAAAAAATAATTAAGCCGAATATAAGTAATTCACGTCGAAGTAAAATAGTCCTTGTCTGGTTGGTGCTAGACCATTCAGTTGCACTTGTCCCAACACCGTGTTTAATGTGTCAGACAACAGGAACCGTACCAGCAGATTTTAGCTAAAGCTAGCTAATTCTTCAAAAGCTGTCAGTCAAAATGATCCATCGCAGTTGAAAGCTTTCCGCGTTTAACGCTCGAGCGGCAGACGCTAACTCAACGCGTGTAAATATAAAAAAACGTTACGGTCACCGTTTATGGCTTTAAGCTAGGGAAACACGGAGGATAACGGTGTCTTCCTTTTTCTTGTGGCGGTCCTTCAAAGCAGCTCAGGTCTCTTGTTTTCAGCTACGACTGTGCTGATGAAAAAGTAAAGAGGAGGAGTAGAAAAAAAACGGTCTAATTCTCAGAAATAACAAAATGTCTGCGGGTTCGTTTAAGTTGAACCGTCCAACGGCTACAAAGAAGTCGTGCGAGTGGTGGGAAATGGAAATCAGTGTCGTCGTAAAGACTGTTAATTAACTTTAAATTAAAACGACACAAAGCTGGAGATAAACTCAGAACGTTTATCCGTGGAGAGTCGTGGAGGAACGAGTGGATTCTTCAGTGGTGGTGAAGCTACAAAGTCAGTCCATTCCTGGAGCTGGTGGGTAGAGCTGAGAACGCCCCACACAGACCCACCGCGGATAGATCGGCGGGGCGCCGCGGATCTACACGCCGCAGATCTAGCTCCTCAGCCGGCTGATATCTGGGCAAATAGCGCCTCATGTGGACAAGTCCCCGCACCGTCACTGCCTGTATTAACGATGATTTAATAATAATAATAATAATACTACTACTACTAGTTTCAAGTGTCATGGTTTTTATTGTCATGTGTGCATAGCTGCAGTGTAGTTATGACAATTACAATCTTAGGTCACAGGCTCCTCCAACAGTGCAACACAATAAAACAGCACAAGTAAATTAAATAGAATAGTCTATATACAGTAATTGGAATATTTATATGTATATATGATATATGTGAGTTGCAAACAGATGAATGTTATGTATGTTCTTTCAAAAGTTCAGGTGTGTAACAGTCGTATGGCCTGTGGGATGAAACTACTACGAATAATAATACAACTAATGTTAATACTACTACTAATAATGATATATAATAAATACAAATAAGGACTACATATATCCACGAAAAAACACAGGAAGTACACATCAAATCCCTCTATTTCTACATATCTCTATCTATTCACATTTGAATATATTCTCCTATTCATATTTATTCCGGATTTCATGTATAATTGAAAATCAGAAAGACTGAATTGGTACTTTATCGTTACAGTAGCTCCATTTTATAATAACACATTAAAGTTGGAGAAAAGTAAAACAAATGTACTTCAATAAACTGTATACCAATACATATATAAAACGTGTATATTACAATAAAGTAGTACATTGTATTATATTAAAGCTGAAAATGGTTCATATGGTTAAGTCCTTACCGAAAAGTATTATTAAGATACACAATATTGCTTGACAAAATGCAGTTGAAGCTCAGTCCATTATGCTACACTCTAAACATATTAAATTAATATTAATTACAAATATTATTCCATCATTATAACTTTTACTATGAGTTCATTGCACCTTATACTAGGCCTATATATTATACCTCGTACTAGTATAACATCGCATATGTGAAGATGTTATACCGTCTTACCTTGTAAAAAAAACATGTTTCTAATTTTGCTAGATTAATACAGATTAGTATCACATTCATAACTAAATCATAGTTTTATTCTGGCACATATATATACTAGACTGGCTGCTTTAAATTCAACATGTATCCTTATTTCCTAACTTTGCCCTTATAACTACTGTGAAGGAAATAACATTTGTATACTATAATACTCTGATATACACTTTTTCTAATAGTTGCAACTTACATTTTATTTTAAAAGTTTGAATAATCATTATTTCCCCTCACCAGGTCTCTGAACATTTATAACATTTCACAAATAAAACGTGTCCGCCATAATGGTTCAATAAAAAGCTTTTAAAAAGAGCGTCGATATAAATAATTGTTTAACACCTTAGTTGTTTAACCCTTAGATGCACGAGTGACTGGACCCTACACTTTTCCATAAGTGGGTCAAAAAGGACCCGTATTAGAATAATGTGTTTTTATGCTATTTGTCATTTTGTCACTTGTATAATATTTAGTATTATATTTTGGTTCACACTAGAAATATTTAATATACATTTTTCACTATTTATAATTTTTTTTTACATTTAGAATTTTTTTTTCTTTCCCATAGGATTCCATAGAAAATGCATGCGGGTCATTTTTGACCCACTTATGGAAGCTTGGGCTAGCAATACAAAAATTACAATTTCTTAAAATTTAAATTGCATGATATCCAAAACATATTTTTTGAGGAATAGCTGGAATATGAAATGATAAAAAAAATGTAATTACAAAGATACTTCAAGAAAACCACCTCACCGGGTCCAAAAAGACCCAAGCATCTCAGGGTTTTAAGAGAAGAAATACTAAACCATTGGATTGCATTATTTTCGGTATCAGACTTCAATAGTTTGAAAGTGGTATTATCCTTTAATCACAATACAAACAGACTGCAAATAATAATGTACAAGGATGCAATAAGAGAGTATAGGAACATATTTTATTCCAATTTAAAACATTTAAAGGAGAAGGCTATGAAAATCATTTTCATGTTTGAATGAGGTTCAGGCAACAGTGGTTGAAATGAAACATACAAAAGAGAAATATGGCTAAAATACTGTAAATCAATAACCATTAGGACCCTTTTTCATGAGGGCGTTGCATGAATACAGTATCTCACCCCCCCACTTCCCCCCCCCCCCCCAACCTGACAAACACATGCAGTAAAATGACATTTATCTTAAAAACAGCAGTTCATCATTATCTTAAATATAGAATAAAATTGTCCTTTTTTTTGTTGGTTAATTAATCACGTGTTTATTTGTTTTAAAAACTGGACCATGAAATTCACCGGCCCTTTGATTTTTCACAACATTGGCACTTGTCAAGAGTCTGGCTTTACAAAGAAAGGGGATTGGCACACTCATTGTACATCATTTACATTTGGTACACTTAAAAAAAAGAAAAGAGAAAGAAGAAAAAAAAAATCAAACAAAAACACATTACTTTCAATTTGTACACCACTACACAAAGTTTATTTTTGACTCTTTTAAAAAAGTCAGTCATCTTAAGTGGTCCTAAATACACGTGTTAAGGTGTGTCAACCTCACGAAAGAAATGCAAAGATAGCTTTTTAATATCACCGTATGTCCATCCCTCGAATCAGAATGGATCTCAAGCTTAAGCAATAGCCATCAAAAGTGTACACATACATACGCACACACACACACACCTCGGAGTACCAACGAGTGCTTTAACGGACGTCTAAGTTGCATGAATGCAGCGGTGCAGCTTCAGTGCCTTCGACCCGGGGAAAGATACACAGTCCAATAAAGTAAATCAGGGAAAGAGAGCGGAGAATGGCGGACATATAAACACAGAGTATTCATTCTACCGATTACAACCACCAACACATTACATAATGGTCATTTCAGTACCTTCACAAGTCTTTCAATAAATACAGTAATACTGAGGCTTAACACACAAGCTTCATTTGGAAAAGAAAAGACACCAAAATGTAAAAGTGAATAAGGAATATTTCGTATCTTTTCTGTGTCGGATGTTGTTTGGCACTGTGTACTAAAAACCTTCTAAATAACACAACCGGGATGCAACTAGAGATCATTTTTATTTCCCTCGATTAATCAATTAGTTGTTTTGTTTTTTAAATGTCAGAAAAGGGTGACAAATGTTTCCTGATGCCTGCGATTACCTCCTCAAATGTCCACAACTCAAAGAAATTCAAATGTTATGTCAGAGAAGTAAATAAATCACAAGATGTTAACATTGAAGACGTTTGAGTCCAAGATTTTGGACTTTTTGTGTAAAAAAACAAACAGACTCCTCAATTATCAAAATAGTTGTCTAGTTGCGAAAAAATGATTAAGGTTTGCTGAATTAATGCAGATTAAAGCAAATCAGTGGAAGTCAATGGAAAGGAGTTCAAATTAACGACCCAGCTCTGCTCGTATCACTGGTCGAGTAAAAATGTGACGTTTGTCTGTAAGTTTTTTTTAAAAGAGTACGACATCCTGCCAACACTGGTCCCCGTAGTGGTCACCTTCACTTTGTTTATCGCTCTCATAGCAGTCCATTCAAATCCATTTGTACACACACAACACACACACACACACACACACACACACACACACACACACACACACACACACACACACACACACACACACACACACACACACACACACACACACACACACACACACACACAACACACACACACACACACACAACACACACACACACACACACACACACACACACACACACACACCACACACACACCACACACACACACACACACACACACACACACACACACACACACACACACACACACACACACACACACACAACCTGAAAGCCAAGCTGAGGGTTTTAAGCACAGACATGTCCTCCCGGCAGTGAAGCAAAACACAATACTCCTTTCCAAACTCGACTGGTTTAATCGACTGACAAACATGCACAAGCTCTTCATTTCAAACAAAAGTGACACTCACAAGATGACTGTCAGCGAGGAAGTGTAAGAAGCGTCAACCTGGACAAGAAGGCGTTTAAATGTCGGCTGAAGCACCGAAGACTAACCCACTACAAATACAAGATGGAAAAACAAGATCTCATCAGAAATTCACGTCAAAGTCAGAAACCTCTCCAACATTTTTTCAACTCATAGAATGGCACTTAGCATAAACATCCCTTCTTCATTAATGTGTCTTAGAAAGATTTAACATCATTTACACATTTGCACCAGAGAAGATTACTCCCACTGGGTGCACGGGACTAAAATCAATCATAAGCAATACACAGGGTGAGTGAATGTCTCGAGAACCTTTCAGATCATACTACCTTTTTGTAGAAAATACGATTTATATTCATTTGTAAACCTTTTGGCAAACAATTTCAGATGCACAGAGGGGGTACGGCTGGATCTGTAATCCAACAAAACACTGCCCTTCAACCAATGTGAAACATGGAAACACTACAGATTAGAAGACATGCCACATAGTGGACAAATATTAGAAAGCCAAGAAAATATCCAAACATAATCCATGTAAGTGTAAGAGGATGGTTAGATTCGGCATGACGCTAAAAAATGTGCTATTGCACCTTGGGAAACCCTACTTCTTCTCCTCTAGATAGGCCAGAAGATAGCAAATAAAGGACTGCTGCACCCCCCCCCCCCACTCTCCTTCAATGAACCTGAACACACTCTTGATTTAAAGCCCCTCGTTAATTAATTAATTGCACCTTTTGCTCTATGCCGTCCATAGAGTCCTTTCATTTCTACCAAAGCTGCTAGTAGTAGCCCTTGTGATGAAAAAGTTATGAAAACTTACCTGAATTACATTGTGAAGACAAAAAATAGCCATCTAACGGCTTAATGGAAATATTAGAACAACGACCAGGCAAGAGACACGATATGGGATTGGAACCAATAAGCCAACACATATCCGTAAGAATTACCAAAAAACAAAGCAAGCATCTTCGACAGTAAATATCCAACCACTACGTTTTTAATCTTTCTTTTTCCTATTTGCATAAAGCACAAACCCGACATGGAAACAGTGTTTTCTTTTCCCCATTGTCAAGCGTTTCAAAACAGAACGGCAACAACTGAATATATGAAGTATCGTTAGAAAGATAGAACACTTGTCCATAAAATAGTTTAGATTTTTTTACAGCAGTATAAAATCTCCTCCCGTCTCATTGGTTGGAAAAAGCTGAAACTAGGGAGGAAGTCTCACTTACTGTACCGACAACACTTAGATCTGATAAATTAGACGTACAAAAAAAGAACTATTTACTCTCTTGCTATCTGTTATCAAATGTTGGCAGAATAATATGGCAAAAGAAAGCGTTGATTAGGGAGAAAAAGCATGATCAAGACCAACTGGTGATTTAAGCTAAGTGTCAGCGCGTTGTTTCCTCGACAACAGACTATTGCACTGCTCCAATCTGGTGTCATCACTCGCTCGTTGTGCACAGGAAGATTATTCTCACCTTCAAAAAGGGAACATAGAAAATAAATTACAGTACTAATACATTTGTGATTCAGACAACAGTCGACGTAAAAAAATGCCACACAAAGTGAGCCGTTATGCCATCGACATATTAATTATTCAAGCACTTCATTTTGGCAATACCAGTTTCCAAATTGTGTTAGCATCTGAGCCGCGTAAAGGACGAACAGGATACTGGCAAATATATTTACAGAAACAAAAGGAGGTGTTTGTAATTTGTCAACGTGATGATATACAGTATGTGAAAACCAGTAGTGTTGTCTCTTAATTCTGTGTGTTGTAATGCATGTTCGAAACGAGGGGGAGTGTAAATGGAGTATAGCTTCGAGTAGTCATCTTCAATTTAAATGTAATTGCAGAAAAGCAGATATATTATCGCTAAGAAGAAGCTGAAAAAGTGTACAGAGAATCGTCTCTGTGCAGCCCTCACTCTGTGTGAGCAGCATGACAACGTTATTTACATTCAACAGAGCTTCTTTGCTCTGATTTGGGGCAAAAAGGAAAGAAAACAAGACCCGGGAAAAGCAAGTACCTCACTGCACCCCCACACTGCGTGATAATATATTCCTATCATCGTAATTAGTTACCCAGGGTCTGCAGCCGGCCCTCCTCTGTAGTGTATAACATGCACGGGTTAAATAAGAACAAGGGGAGAGAGCCCTTTTCCCATCAAATCTACCCAGAGAAGCCTCGACCCACCTGCAACACACAAGCACTGGTGATAATGTAGTGTAAAAGAAATAATGTGAGCCGTGTCCAGTTCAAACCCTAACAAAGGGGACAAATGGGAGAGTTGTATTTGGGAAGCGGAACCACAAAACAGATACCAAAATGTGAAAGTAAGGACAGGACATGTGTAGTGTTGGTCTGCTAGAGTGAAGTGTGTTTCATGCAGATGTGTGTGTCTGTAGAAGTGGACTCTGCATTGTGTGTGTGGGGGGGCAGGTCACTCTCTCTTTCTCTCCTCTCTCTCTTTCGCTCTCCTTCTCTCCTCACACCAGGTTGTATTCTTTGAGGTTGAGCTGCAGGATGGTGTCTTTGACGGCGGCGAAGACGAAGCGGATGTTCTCCGTGTCGGTGGCGCAGGTGAAGTGGGAGTAGATGATCTTGTCGCTGTCGGGGTTCAAGTCCACAAACATCTTCAGGATGAACTCCCGGCCCGCCTGGGCGTCCCGCTGAGGACCTGGAGGAGGAGACAGGGCATTATTACTAGCTTCTAGTGAGCGGCACGTCAGCATGATAAGATCAGATAAAACTTTATTAATCCTGCAGCAACAGCAATACAAGTGAAACACAGGAGAGGAGTAAATATAACAATAGGATTTATTCATTTCAAAATATATTATAAAGTCAGTTCAACAGAACTAGCTTTGGCCAGTAATTAATATGTTAGAGGTCCAGTTCTAGGCGACAGTTTGCCTGCTCTACTTCACAGTGTTAAGATCATAAAGAAACTCTCCCTTACCTCTGCACTGTGAACCTTTGCACATTCCTCAACAATGCTTCCAAGTCTAATCAGATATACTGGACATATTTTTCACAGTAATTTACCAATTATTTGTGTATTTTCTAAAAATTGTAAATGTAAATGTTTTGTTTATTTTAGGTCGCATTCACACCAGCCTTGTTTAGTCCGGTTGAATCGAACCCTGGTGCGTTTAGCCGCTTGGTGCGGTTCATTTGGGTCGGTGTGAACGCAGTCCGAGACCTCTGAAGTGAACTAAACAACCGGACTCTGGTCCGCTAAAAGAGTTGGTCTCGGAGCGCTTGCTTGCGAACTCTGGAGCGGTTCATCGCTGGTGTGAACGCAGTCCGCACCAAAACATAGGAAGCGTAGTATTTACGTGTCACAAGAACGCGGGTGTCTTCAGAATCGTTAGCGAAAGAGCGAAGCAGAATGAAGTGTTGAACAGTGTCGTGTAAATTAAAAACAACTCAAACTAAAAACTATACATAAAAGTCAGAGCCACCTGCCGTCGGTGAAACGCCTCCTTGCTGCAGATCGTCCCTCATTATATGTGTTATAATGTTTTGTATCGCACTGTGAAGCCGACCGTTGAGCGGCCCAGACCAAGCAAGGAGGCAGAACGTCCAAAAATACAACCCGACGTGGGCATTTATTAAAATATGAACACATTACACACAGCCTCAATCCTGCTGCTGCTGTTCACGTGAGCCCAGCCTGCAGCCACCAGGATCTCACACACACACACACACACACACACACACACACACACACACTCCCTGCCCTAACAGACAGGGAAACAGAGCCTAAATACCCACACACACACAGCAACTAGACACAGGTGAGGGGGGAGGAGACAACACAGGGCACCAGGTGCACACAATCCTTTAATAAATACTATCTCAATAATTAGTATTTAAAATGTGCAAATATGCCGTACCAAACGGTCCTGTGCAATCACGCTAATAAAGTGCAAACCTGTTCTCTAAAGTGCTGAGTTACCAGGCCCGAAGCCGTCAGTTCACAGCGACGAAGTTACCTTTGTCACACGCACGTTGTCTGATTATATAATCATATGCGCCGTTGCTGTTGATCTCCAGATTAACAGCAGCATGAGAATAACCTGCCGATGCTCCATTGCGGAGGCTCCGGTAGAAATTGCCGGGATTTGCGTTTTTACCTCCGTAATGTCTGACCAATGGTTGAACAGCATTTCCGAGCACATGACTTGTGTTTAAAGTTTATAGTCCGTTTGAGTTTTGTGTGAACGCAAACCGAACCTTCTGAAAAATGAAACGATGTAACAAACTGTGGTCTGGTGCTCATCTGAGAGCGGACTATTAGGTTGAATGCGACCTTAAACTCTCAGTTTATTACCTTCTTTTTTTTAAATTATACTTTGTTTGTATTTACCAAATATTTGTTGTGTTTTTTTCAATATATCTTTTTCTTCCACTGTCTCCTCTTTTAGAGGTAGAACAAATACTCACCTGTAGCTTGTGTCATACACAGATGAACTACTACAAGTTCAGTTTGCATTGCAGTACAGCCTTCTAGCCACAGGGTGTCACTGTTCAATCAGAGATATACATGAAAGGTTTCTGTGTGTACAAGTAACTGGTTTGGTGTACATTACGGTAAAGGGTAAAAGACATCCACAGCATTACGGCCCGTCCACACTACAGCTTCAAAAAAAGCTTGGAGCTGGGCGTGTCTGAAGCTCGACCAACAACCAATCACATGAATCTCCCGCCCCTGACACACAAGCAGCGGTTTGATTGGCTCGAGCTTGTACTGGCATATGATTTGATTGGCTGACGCTTCCACCGAAAGCTTCAGAAGCTTCAAAAGTTGAACATTGCTCAACTTTTGCAGCCTGAAACGCCAGGAAAGCTCCGCTCTGCTTCCCACAATGCAGTTCGGCGAAAAGTGACGTCACCCCATTCAAAGTGAATGGGCAGACGCGTTGGAAACCGTTTTTGAAGCTGTAGTGTGGACGGGCCGTTACTGACAGACACTGACCGAAGGCTGAACTCCTGCCCTGTTTGGATAATTCATGAAATGTTGGAATTAAATTCACTGCCGAAGCTCAGCTAACACGCTCCTGCACTACACAACCATTCAGGGACACCACATAACACGTACACATTTATTAAGAAGTCTAATCAATTCTATACATAAATTATATCTAAACTATGCAACACTGACTATGCTTCTAATATAATGTACAATAATTATTCAAGTATGCTCCACTCACATCACTTTGGCTATTAATACTGCATTAAACTGTACTTTTCAAGCAATGTTCTTATACCTTTCAGCATTAAAAACATAACCACAGCGCCAATTTTCAGCATCACTATAAAAACACCATTGTATTTATTGTAAGTTACAGATGTATTGTTATATATTTTAGCATAATGTCCACATTTGTACTCCAACTTCTCTATGTTTACTTTAAATGGAGCCACTGTGACATGAATGGGGCGAAGCCTGCGAGCTAGTTCAGGCAGTCAACTAGAGCACTTATGCTGCATTCATACATAACGCCTCTTGCCACTCTACAACCAACCAATCAGAGTCTCCTTAATATGCCGCTCTATTGAACCTGCCAGATCTCTCTCCATGCTTTGCTTGCTGCTGCTGCTGCTACAGCTACCTCTACGTCGCTGCTGCTTGCTGCCCCACCACCACCTGTAGGCTCGGGGGGTTAGTTATTTAATCATCACTCATCGTGCTATGTATATCTGTGGAGTGATGAGGCCCGAGCCTAGACGCCAAACTCAACTATACGCTACTTCAAATACACATGTTAAAGAAACACGTGAGATGTCTGACTGAAATGTGATAAAGTACATCTGATTTAAGAGAAGATTGAAAGCAGAAAGAATCTGGTTTTTACCATCGAACTCAGGGAAGTAGTCGACCAGGTGCGAGTACATGATCTTCTCCTCCAGCAGGTCCTTCTTGTTGAGGAAGAGGATGACGGAGGAGTTTTGGAACCACGGATATGTGATGATGGTCCTGAACAGAGCTTTACTCTCCTCCATACGATTCTGACAGGGGACAGGGAGGGGTAGAGGAGAGGGGAAATAAACAAAAGGTTAGGAGACACTCAGAACACAAGACTGCTTCAGTTCCAGAGTTTCACTTCAAGCTCATCTTGGCCAAAAGAATTGATGATAACGATACCTTCATGTTATCTATAAAAAATATATATAAATTAGAGTAACGTTCTTAATTCAATGAATCTCTAACTGTCTCTTTATTGTATGTTATCTCTTATTTGGCAAATATTTTTACCCAAACCATGACTATGAGGAGTTGACGATCATAAGTATAAAACTGTATCAAAACAAAGAGACTCATTTGTTCAGGGTCTATGCAGGAATCCTGAAGTCAAAGGTAATTCCTTTTAAGACCTTTTTTAAGACCCTTTCCGTACATTTTAAGACCTCATCGCCACCTGGAGTTTTAACCGGTTACCTTGGCGACACACTTTACCTCACATTGACTATATACAGTATTGATTGTCCTTCCTCCTTATCTTCCAACCATTTGGACGCAAACTTGCATTTCCCCGTAACGATGTTGTTTAACAACCGGCGTAAACGGACCTTCGCGCTATCAAGCAGTGAGCGTGCGATGTCCTGTTCAGATGACGTCAAACCCAACGGGATGCCATCAATAAACTACACAGAATCACACTACACACCTACGCAATGATTACATTCAGGCAGACTGTAGAATACAACCTCTTTGGACAATTCATATACTTATTGAAAACAAGCTACAAAATGTAATACCTTGGAAAATGCCTTTTAATACTTTTTAATAGCCTTAATTTTCGCTAAATTGATTTATCAACTTTTAATACCTTTTATGACCCCGCGGACCCCCTGTTGTATTCGGAGGATTTTTTTTTGTCAAAGTGCTTTGAAAACACTAAACATTTGGTTGCTAATAGTAATGCATTTATGCTGTATGTCATCCAGTTGAGTGCAGCATTCACGGTGAAAGGGTTTTTTGTAGTAACGGATGAGTAACACCAAAAACTGTCAAAACTAAGACTTATTCCTCCAAAGCAAACTGTCTAGCAATCCTAAAAAGTGGAGCTGGAAGCCTCCTTATGTAAACTACTTAAAGCCGAGAGCTGCTGTCTTCTTTTTCTTTCTGAACTGCTGTCGCTGCCAGCATCACTCCCACAGTTTAGTCTCGGCGAGTCTTAATATGATCGTGACCCGATGAAATCACAGATGTTTGAAAACAATCTCGTCAGGCTCGGACTGCTCTGAAGGGTCAAAGTCTCGCCTGTCAACGCAACCGGATAATCTGAGCAGACAGTGACGCCTGAACGCAGCACAGCCTCGTCTCAGCTCTCCAACATTCAGGAACGGAGCTCAGTTACAGCACCAGTGTGACACAGTGGTGCTGGAATGAGTCCTAAAGCCCTCAAATGAGTTGGCATTGAAGCACTTCCCTTTACTCGGAGACAATGGTTCTTTGGATGTTTGTTTTTTCAGTTAGAAGACATAAAAAAAGGTCTGCTGTTAACACAATCCTCATTTTCAGGTTCATATTTGTATTTTGTGCTTCTACTGTTTCCATGCTTTCCTCTGTCTGAAACCAGAGCCCAGTCTGCTCTGATTGGTTAGCAGGCCAGCTCGGTTGTGATTAGTCAACCGCTAAGAGATTTCCCACCTCTAGCTTATCGTGTATATGTGTTGAAACGCTAGCCGATAGGAGCAGGTTACAAAGGGAGTCCAATCAAGGCCAAAAAAAGCCTCTGAAGAGATGTTTATGTGTTGTTCTACACGCAGTGCTTCTCAAAGTGTGGTCCGCGGACCACTGGTGGCCAGTGAGCGCCCCCTAGTGGTCCGTGAGTATATTGGTAAAATTTCACATTTGAAATTAATTAAAGTTTTTCGCACTCTCGCGGGAATATCTCCGCAATGGAGCGAGCTTAAGTTTCACTTTCAACTGCATAATATAGCCCAGATAAACACCTTCATCACACATGTTGCCACTTGTTTGTACCATGTTCAGGCAATTTGTAAAAAACGATGTGATTTTGGACATTTGTGGAGTTAGGTGGTCCGCGAGTGTTTTTTTATTGGTTAAGTGGTCCTTGGTATGAAAAAGTTTGAGAAACACTGTTCTACAGCATAACATGTCAGTAAATGACACACTTGTGAAGCGACATGTAATACAAAAATGGCAGTTTGAAGTAGCGAAAGGACACTACTTAACGTCAACACTATGACATTGGTCTGTTTAGCTTAGCAGTGGTGACAAAGTAATGTACCCTGCTGTAGTTCTTTATGGCCTAACATTACCTTTTTGTATTGCATTTGAACATCTTAAAGTTGGTGTTAATATTTGGAGATTATCCTGCTGAATAAAACAATAACTATCAGATATTTGTTTGTCTCAATTTCTGCAATAATCCAAAATCCAAACGAAAAATCCCATTGGCTTTTTGTCAAGGGGTTTTTGTCGAGCTCCATGCAGTCCTTTATTACAAGCATCAAAAGCAGATAAAGCAGCAACCGGCTAAAATGAAAACATATTTCTGTGCCTGTGTGTACAATAAGGCCTCACACCTGCGCAGGCCCAGTGCAGATAAAGTACAGTTTGTGTGCATTAACACACTGTTATCAGAGTGGACAAACATTGAGGCGGTGTATAGAGAGCGGCTGGCAGCTGGGTCCGGATTATGAGACGCAGCCGTCATATGACCGGGTCGGAGAAAGGGTTTGTTGTGAGGAGCGGAGGGCAAGCAGGGGCCGAGCACATTAGCTTTATTAGCCGTAATACTCTGAGGGAACACAATGGACAAACTACATATCTGTGGAGTAAAGACATAGCCTTTCTGTTTTTTGTGAGGGACTAAGAGGAAATTACCATTACAATTTAAAGGTCCCATGTCATGCTTTTCCGGTTATTACCCGTCCCCTTGTGTTATGAAGGTTGTTCTGCACGTAAACGGTCTGCAGAGTCACAAACCCTCAAAATACACCCTGCAGCGAATAAAACTCTAACACAGAAAAGACCTGTCTATGCTGCCCCAGAACGCCTCGTTGGACATTTCTCTTTTTCCATTGTTTACTTCTTGGGTATAGTGACATATTTCGGGTATAGTGACGTAACGTAACGTCCGCGGAGCTGTTACGTTTGGACCAATCCGCGGACTTCCTCACACACACACACCACTCGGCGGGACGTTGCGAGGCTCGCTGCTGCGAGTAGCGGGACACTGTGAGCTGGCTCACTGGTGTGGGGTCGGCGAGACAGCGAGACACCGCGGAACTCAGCCTGGGCACACACACAAACTCCCAGCCAGGCTAACGGAGCGTCCACACAGCAGCATGCGTTGACGCTTGGCGTGTCTGAAGCTTGGGGATTTTTTGTGAGCAACGCGACCAACAACCAATCACATGAATCTCCCGCCCCCGACATGCAAAGCAATAGCAATGTTAAAACGAAGTAAACTGGATATAAAATCCCCAAACAGGCGAAAACCTACCAGTTTCACCCACTGTCTCTGCCACCTCCCTCCATGCCTCGCTCCTCCGGTTTGTATCCCGGTAGATGAACAGAGACTGATCATACAGCACCGGGTGATTCACTACCGCTATAATGAATTTTCCCTCCATTTTTTGGAATATGAGGAAATGACCTGCGTAGTCTCTCCCAGCATACACGCGGTTTGATTGGCTAGCGCTTGTACTGGCAGATTTGCATAAACGGGATTTCATTGGCTGACGCTTCTGCCGAGGCGCCAAAAGTTGAACATTGCTCAACTTTTGAAGCGAGCAACGCCAGCAACGCTCCACATCGCTTCCCAAAATGCAGTTCGGCTAAAAGTGACGTCACCCCATTCAAAGTGAATGGGCAGAAGCGTTGGAAGCTTCAACGCACGTCCGCTGTGTGGACGGGCCGTAAGGGTGTGTGTTTGTTTCACACTGGGTTTCGCAGACGGCCACTGGGCTCACAGGGAGGGGGAGGGGGCAGGAGCTCCAACAAGCCGTTTAGGACAGAGAGTGATATACTATACAGAGATGCTGTATGAGAAACCAATGTGAGTTTGGAAAATTGCACAATATAAATGTATTCTAGTAGACCTCAACAATGGAATTCTGATCAGTAGAAATGGCCATGACATGGGACCTTTAATATTCTTGATGATATCCATTAGTTATGTAAAGCTTCTTTACTTTTTTTAACATGGTTGTTAAATACCACATTGTTCGATGTGCTGTTGCAATACTGGGTTTTTGATATGGTCATGCCAATAAAGCTTCTTTAACATGTCACTTAAAAGCTGGGAACAGTACATTGACGTATAATGAGCTTAGAAAATGGATACGGTGAACTTGATGGCAAACTGTTGCTTATTTAAAAATATATTTACACAGCAAAGATTAGCCTTCATTTGAAGTCGTGTTTCTGGCCACCTTCAGAGTAAGTATTTAACCCTGATTAACCTGCATGTTTAATTCTCTTGTAAGTTTCTATCTTTATGGTCTATTGCACTTAATGTAGGTAGTTTGGATAAAAGTGCAGCTAATTGTAATGTGACGAAAAAGAAAAAGCATATTGGCTGGTTTAACCCCAGGAGCCAAAAAATGCAAAAACATTGGCGATAAGCGCTTTTTACATTGCCAGTAGACAAGAATGCCTGTTGCTATTTACACTACTTGTCTTTTTCTGGTGTGTCGCATCAACTAAAACAGACATGCTAAACAGTTTTATGAGTTTTATTTAGTTTCTTTCAAGCTTGAATAAAAAAGTGTTTTGCAACGATCAGCAAGGTTAGATTACCGTTTCTGTGAATGGAGTCTTTCAATCAAGCCCATGTTGTTAAAATTCCTAAATTCATGTTGATTTTATGCTTATTGCACCAAAGAAAATGGTGCAAAAAACTAATAAAAGTTACATAGTAGATGATTTAGGCCATATCAACCACCTCTAGTAATGTTTAGACTGGTTTGTTTATTTTTAAAATGTATGTTAAGGAAATTCTTTAAGTGAATCTACCTAAGTGTAGTTGATATAATGAAACACAGATTTTGTGTTCTCACAAAACAAACCCGGAACTGAGATTTTGAGAATTGTCGGACCCCTTAAAGTGTGGTAACATTTTGTGAATGTACTCAAACCATTTGTAAACAATAACTCTTTCTACGTGTGTCTCACCTCATTGTCGGACTCCACCAGGACTTGGTCGTACTCGCTGAGCGCCACCAGAAACATGATGGAGGTGACGTTCTCAAAGCAGTGAATCCACTTCCTCCTCTCTGACCTCTGACCCCCCACATCCACCATCCTGATCAGGACATGAAGAGAGGCAGGGCCACCAAACAAGGGGCAGAAAGAATCAAAGGAAAGAGACAATTAGCTCTAAAACTATACATCTCTAGATCTGTATTGTTTAAACTCAGGATCACAGTAGTATCACATATGTTAGCATGCATTTCAAACAGAATCTCAGGATCCAAAGACAGACATGTTTAAGTTAAAACTAATTCTCAGTGCATTAATGAGGCATTTATCTTCCAAAGCTTTGTATACAGCGATGGCCAATCATACGTTTCAAGGCCAGCGTGGTCTAACAATTACTGCAGCTTTCACATTACAATGAGACTAGCATAGTTCAAGACAAACGCATATTTGTGTGTGTGTGTGTGTGTGTGTGTGTGTGTGTGTGTGTGTGTGTGTGTGTGTGTGTGTGTGTGTGTGTACAAACAATGCCATCTTCCCTCTTTTCTCTGCAGTGTGTGAGCAGGAGAGTTCAAGCACGAGATGGAAAGTGATAAGAAATATGTTCTGGTTTAGAAGTGCATGTAAAAAGGTGAGGTATATGAGGGAATATGAGAGGAGCAACGGATAGACATCGGGGGAGTGGTTGAAGGAAAAAACGGAATATTTAAGATTAGGAAAAATCATGGTGAAAAATGACAAAAATAGAGGAAAATGAGACATGAGCTTGTAAGCCTTGATTAATCGGTTTTATTGTAAAAGTAGGAGACACAGAGCGATGCACCACAACACAGACTATATCACCCCTTGCTGCTAAATACCAACAAACTATGTGCAATATATAAATGCTGTTAATAACTGCAATATATACCTGGCTGCTAAATCCTAAGAACTGTTACAGGATGTGCATTTTTTTTAAATGATGTAACTTTTTTATTATATCATAACTCAGTACTTTTTTTGAATGCATGTCACAAATGTAACATTAAGCTGTCGGTGGCTCTTTTTCCTGCTGTAACTACGCACATTTCCCCTCCGTGGGACTAATAAAGGTATTCTGATTCAGATTCTGATCTGATTCTTGGACAAACTAGTTTTAATGTCAACATCATTTTTTGTTTGAAGTTTTTAGTGCTAAAAATGCTGCTAGACATAAAAGGCGCAGGGAGAGAAACTAATAAATAAAAGTGAATAAATCATAAGTTAAGTTTTGAGTCTCTATTCCAGAAAGATTCACCCAGTTTTATTGAAAAGCAAGACATTTAAGGAAGTCCAGCATATGAGCCATCCTTAAACAAAACTCCTTCACATCAAACAACCTCCTGTTTTTTTTCTATAGCGAGAATAAGTGACTTATTTTGTACGATAAGCTCCACTACGTTGAAGTGAAATGACATTTTCTGTGACTTCAAAAGCCAATTAAAAGGAGGAGGAAGCAGGCCTAAAGGCGATGGTGTATGAAAGGCAGCCTTGTTGCAGCTCTGTAAACTGCACACAGAGGAAGTATAATGCCACATGTTGTTACTATACACGAGTCCCAGCCCAAGGAAATCCTGCATCAAGTATCTTCCCTGTTTAATAACAGGAATACGACAGCTCCTCGTCATAAATCACTACATTTACTACTATGGAAAACACTAGAACAAAGATTCCCACTTATTGCTAGTAATAAAAGTAGCAATATGTAAACAAATGATAACTATACAAACTCAAAATGGAAGGATCTTGTGAATTAAATATATGAAATGGAAAAAATGATAAGAATTAGACATTTTGTTCATATCTTTGACGAAAGATGGGAAAAATGCTGGATGAATAGAACTCAGAACATTACCGAGTATTCATTTTAAGAGCCAACTCAAGACCCACCGTTTTAGTTTTAATTAATTTGATAGAGTTGTTTTATTTGGTCCTCTGTTTGGAGGCATTGAGTTATGTTGCTATAAAGCGTTTTATTTATTTGTATGCGTTGCTATGACTTTGGATTGGGAGGAGGGTTAGCATGGTTTTGTGAAGCACATTGTGTTTAAGTTGTGCTTTATAAGCAAAGTGTGATTGATAACTTATTATCCTCTGGTTAGATTTGACGATTAAGGTTTCTATGAAAACAAATGATGTTTCTGGTATTACACCCAATCGATTAATGTTCATCACGAACTATAACTCATCTGGTTTGTTTACCCTGTAACAACATCATTTTGGAAAGAAATATTGAAAAAGAAAATCACTAAACTAGGACTTTTTCAATTAGTAATGTTACTACTTCAACACTTATATGTTCACTTACACACATTTGTACCTTGGATGTTTACTTACTGGATTTTTATTTAATTTCTGTGATATTTCCTCTTTATTTAATATGAATTACTAATTTAATCTGCACCGTCCCTTTGCTGTAACACTGTTAAATTCCCCGCTGTGGGACGGATAAAGGACATTCCTTCCCACTTCATATTTGAATTTTCAGTCCCTTCACACAGAGTTGAAGTCATGCAGTGGTTGCAGTGATTCACCGTCAGCACCACTATCAGCAGCTGGGAGCCTCTTCAGCCTCTGTGAGCACAGTTATTTCCAGCTTTGCGAGGCGTGGGAGGTGGCTGACACGATGGCTTCCTATCGATTTGCACTCGTCTGTGATCGCTGCCGGGTCCGACACTATCTCCTCACCTCCTCTCTTTTTTTGCAAAAGGAGGAGGAAGGGAAGCTACTCTACATTTTGGTGGCGGCATTTAAGACAAGTCCTAAAGCTGTAGTTTCACTACACAGGGTATATGCAGGAATCCTGAAGTCAAATGTAATTCCTTTTAACACCTTTTTTAAGACCCTTTCAATACATTTTAAGACCTCATCGCCACTTGGAGTTTTAACCGGTTACATTGGCGACACACTTTACCTCACATTGACTATATACAGTATTGATTGTCCTTCCTCCTTATCTTCCAACCATTTGGACGCAAACTTGCATTTCCCCATAACGATGTTGCTATCAAGCAGTGAGCGTGCGATGTCCTGTTCAGATGACGTCAAACCCAACGGGATGCCATCAATAAACGACACAGAATCACACTACACACCTACGCCATGATTACATTCAGGCAGACTGTAGAATAAAACCTCTTTGGACAATTTATATACTTATTGAAAACAAGCTACAAAATGTAATACCATGGAAAATGCTGTTTAATACTTTTTAATAGCCTTAATTTTCGCTAAATTGATGATCAACTTTTAATACTTTTTACGACCCCGCGGACCCCCTGCTACAGAGAAAACTATCAGAAATACTGCCTTGATGAGCCTTTCAGTTACTAAACATGCTACAACTACAGCGTTGGCTTTGCAATAAAGCCTGGAAGTACGCCATAACATGTATATTTTCATTATCTTTTATTCGGCCAATTAACTGGTGCTCTATAAAAAGTCTTAAATTGTGTCTCCCAGCGGATGAACCAGGTGATTATAACACTGAATGAAGTCTCTCAGACGCTGCTAACATTTGTCTGCTCGTTTCTCAAATAACTTAAGACCCAAACGTCAGATGACTAAAATCCTTCATCAAGTTCAAATACATATTTAAAACAACCAAGATCTAAAACGGGAATCATTCACATGGGGCTTAAAACTGGATTAAAAGTCAATTAATGACGGGCGACCAAATTGAACTGACCGTGTTGTTCTTTATTAACTGGCGAAACATGTTGAGGTGTTTATTTGTCACCACTAGGGATGTAACGATACCAAAAACTCACGGTACGATAATATCGCGATAACAAGTCCACGGTACGGTAGCCTATTTATCGCGATATTGAATAATAAAGGGAAGGAAAAAAAATTACATATTTTTTTTCAATAAACATTTTTTTTTACTCGGAAAATGTTTCTTTATTACATAATAAATCTGATTTGTACAGCATTTTAGTAGGATAGCAGTATTTTAAAGTGTTAAAAACACTGTTGACAGTTCACGAGCGTGCTCTCTCGTGAACTGTTCAGACCCGACGGGTAATAAGGGATTATGACGGATATTTTACGATCCTGTCTGTCAAAATGACGGACAGCAAAAAAGTCTAACGCCACCTCAGTGGGACGGAGAGATATGCTTTGGCCATGGGTGACAGCAGTGGGTCAAACTGTGCATTGTCTCTCCACCACTTCAAAAACAATACAGTTTTTGCCAAGAAGGTGAGGCTTATTGACAGGGCGAGATACAAATATACTGTTGGTACTTGTCAATGTCTCTAGGTGTGTAAATGTAGCCCTGTAAATACGATGTCCTTTTGTGTTCTGTTGTTTTATGTTCATGTTGTAACCTACTTGCTGCCATGTTGGACAGGTCTCTCTTGAAAAAGAGATCAATGATCTCAATGGGACCACCTGGTTAAATAAAGGTTTAAAACAAAAAAAATCGCGGTAGATTTTTTCAGTCTCACGACGGTATTGGGACATTTATTTACCGCGATATTCGGTATATCGTTACATCCCTAGTCACCACGGTTAGCATTAACTAGGGTTTTTCATCAAATAAAAACAAGGAGAATAAAGTCGACTGTACGGTTATGATTGAACGGATGTCCCAGAATAAAAATGGTAAACTTTGAAATACTAATCAATGATCAAAATAGTGAATTCAATTTGTCCAACTACATGTTTTTGGCTCAATTTACAAAAAATACTGAATGCATTCCAATATGAGAATGGATTTGGGACATATTCAGACAAAATAAGGAAATAAAACAATGTTGTAGGTGACATAAACATGTTGAGTCAGACTTAAGATGACTTTTTTGGATTATAAAATGAAAACAGAACACTAATAGGGTACAGAAGTGGGGTTAGACAAAGTAATGTTGTTCTTCTTCTACCTGAAAATGATGCTTTGCAAGTCGAAAGGGTATTCTATGATCCCAGTGGTTGGGATTCGAACCCTAAGCACGTCCTGTTGGGTCGGTAGATAGCACGGTTCAGCAATACGATCCAGATCACTTAGATAGCTAGAGACAGGAAGGACAACAGACAAAGAGAGGGAGGGAGGGAGGAAAGAGAAGATGAAGCATAACAGCAGAAACAGCAACCTCCCTTCCTCCGAAAGCAAGTGGACTAGTCCAGATGTAACCACAGAAAACCATTCCCAAGAGTTATGAGGGGAGGAGGTGACGTTTTGAACCTCTACCCCCCCAAACATTCTCTTAGAAATGTAGCTTCATCCTTGATGGCAGCTCCCAAAGACAAAATATTCCTCAAGTTTATCATCTGTGAAGGTTTCGGGGCTTTGAACTGGACTCAAAATGATGATTTAGCATTCAGAGGCCAACTTTGACAACCTAGGTGAAGAAAAAAAGTGACTCCCTTTGCTATAAAGACTCGACAGGAGGGGATTTTTTGGTCTTTGAGAGTACCATCAGGGATGTGTTAAAGTGCCGAGTAGATGGAGATAGCGGCATCGACGGTTTCCAACTGGCTGGCAGACTGTGGAGCAGCTAGCCAATCGGTGGCCTCATCAGCAGCACCTGACACCAGTACCTGAAGATAATATTCTCCAGGTCAAAGGGGTACTCGATGATGCCGGTGGTGGGCACTCGGACCCGCAGCACGTCCTGCTGAGTGGGCATGTACCCCGCTGTCGCTATTCGATCTAAAGCGTTAAGGTAACTCTGGAAGGAACACATGATAAAGATGCACAGGTCGGAAAACAATTGCTCTGTCGAAAAAACATACTACCATCAAAAAGGGGTGGATTGAAAATATTCTTCCATTTCAAATCAATCTTCATGTGAATGATCCAATATCTATCCATACACTTTAGAGATGCACTCTGAAACTAAAGATGCTTTAGAAAACTCTTTTAGTTCCCCAAAGAAACGTTTTGCATATTGATGCAAGTGGCCGAATGCTTTTTGATGTCTCAAAATGTTACCATAGGATAGGTTCCAAAGGGAAGGACATTTATAACATTTTCTTGTCTAATAATGCATCTTTTAATATTTTTTCCCCTAGAAATCTGCTTCAGAACAAATTGGATATAGCCACAAGTGCCTCATAAATATATACAGTTTATACAAATACATTTATTATTAGAACTTTATTTCTCACCCTAAAACCTCAATTATTTAAAAGGAGCCCTCTTAGTCTGAAATGGATGAATGCAGGTTGGAATTAGCTCTGATATTATTAGCAGTCGTTTATAAACCTGTCAACATTTCCTCCTCTTCTCCACATCTGCCTGAACCCTCTTTTCCTTTCTTCAGATGTAGCACATAGTAACACAGGTAGAAAACTACTCGATATGGTTTATTAGCAATCTTCAATGCAACTGTGGTTACATTTTATCATGTTTAAACTATCAAAACAGTTATTTACCAGTTTTCTCGCATTGCAATGGATATTTTACAGGCGACAGTTTAAGTGATACTGCTTCGACAGATTAAAAACGAATCCTGTAGATGAATAAGTTGGACGTACTATTTGGTAGAGTCAGAGAGCTGGTACTCTCTCCTGCGGTCGTAGGCCTCCTGGATGCCAGGGTCCGTCCACAGCATCTTTATGGCACTGGTGTACGGCTGCTCGAAGGAGCAGACCTTCTCCACGTCCACCTCACGCACCACCAGGGCATTACTCTGGAGAGGAGAGCAAAGGAGAACACTTTAAACAAGTCAGTTTAGTAGGTGAGGATTTTATGTGGAGGAGATCAATTCACGATCGAAATGATGAAGTGATAGCCTTGAAATCTCAAAGTAAGCAGGGCTTGCTTATGGCACTTTCCCACTGCAGGACCTCGCATGGCTTAGTACGGTATGGTTTGGCCTTGGTAGGCCAGGCTCACTTTAAGCTGCGTTTCCATTACAGTTAGTAACTGGGGTAGTAACTATAGTAACGAAGCAGTGTAGGCGGGGCGATCGGCTGTTCAGCGGGTGGAGCGACGCTGCGTAAAAGACTGTATTGACTGCCTTGGCGTAATCTTCAATGCGACACAACTCTCAAACACCATAACAATGGAGGATATGGAAGCGATCGTGTACTTGGTTCTTGATTTTTATCACAGCAAGGAAGCAAACTTTGTTTCGGAAAAGGCTGCGAATAGCAAGACAAAATACAGAAGAAGCCAACAGGAGAGTTTGGGCAACCCTACAACGCAGCAGAGACGACAAAGCTACTTGGTAAGCTAACGTTCGCTAACTAGCAATGTGTTTAGGGTCACGCTCACTATACGACCAGTGTTTCAAGTATTTAATTAATCTTAGCTACCATTTTTACGTATTAAAATATGTATGCTTTATGTGATTTCAGAAGTTATACCATTTGCAGAGTCGCCGCCGCAGACCTTGTGTTTGGACCCCACACACACACACACACACACACACAGTGTGGGTGCAGAACTTCAGGACGTCTGAGGAAACCTACACCAGTAACATACGAGAGGGTCTGATGCACTAATTTAATAGCAACACATTCATTGTACTGATCGTAGATTGTATTGAACATAAATCAATATTTTGTACTCTTTCACATATACATGTGTTTGTCAAATGATTGACTATTTAGTAAATATTTGAATTTCAAGCACCTGTAAGTACTGCCCCATAATAAGAACACTTGAGAAAATAACAGATCATGAAAAGAAAATCTTTCTAATAAATTAAAGGTCCCATGTCATGCTTTTCCGGTTATTACCCGTCCCCTTGTGTTATGAAGGTTTTTCTGCATGTAAACGGTCTGGAGAGTCAAAAACCCTCAAAGTACACCCTGTAGCGAGTAAAACTCTAACACAGAAAATACCCGTCTATGCTGCCAGAACGCCTCATTGGACATTTCTCTTTTTCCATTTGTTTCTTCCGGGAACCAAAATGGACCAATCTGCGGAGCTCCTCACACACGAGGAGGGGTGGGGACCTTTAGCGTACATTTTCAACTAACAGGGAGTCCCCTTTCAAACTGTATTCTTGTTTATTAATAACGACTTTTTTTGACTGTCATATAGTATTTTATACCCGTTTACTTTATTCTCTTATTTTTTTTATAACTATAATGATCATATAAAGATGTGCCTTTACCTCACTGGTTGGAGAAAAAGCTTCTTATATTCGTTAGCATAGCTAGCTAACCAGATGCTAATACCAACAACGTTATTGACTGTATGATCAGTATGACAGATCGCCACTGGGCTTTCAACTAAAGACACAGCCACGCAAAAAACTGCGGCATGTGTACGGCTCCTTATCGGTACTGACATTTGTGATGTCCCGGCCCGGAGCGACGTCCTGGTGCTCTCCGGCAGCTCTAAACCCCTGTTGGACGAGACATGGCTCGTGTTGTGTTCAAGGACCCTGACCGTGGCCAGGAAAAACAGGCACTCGCTTGTTTAATTCTTTTGCGGTCTAGATTTTTTAATTTTTTTTCTTTTTTGCGTGAGTTACCTCGAGGGCCGTATCAAAATTGTCTCGCCCGTATACGGCCCGGGGGCCGGAGGTTCCCCACCCCTGGTTTAGATCTACTATTAACACAGAGGAAATCACGATAAAAATACTTTAATCATCAAACAAGTGCAAATAACAAAGAAAACTATAAACATAAATACAAAAGTGTATAACACAGCAACACTATATACATAAATGCAAGTGTAAAAGGCCACTAAGGCCAGCTGCAGGTGCCGTTCCTGCTGGGCCAGATCTGCACTGTGCATCTCCCTCAGGACTGTGAGGTGCTCCTCTCCTCGTTTCCTCTTGCCTGGAAGACAATAAGATAAACCTTTTTTAATCACCGTAGGGAAATTCAGGTGTTATAGCAGCAACAGCAATAAGAATGAAAAAGACAGGACAGGTACAGGTCACATAAGGATATAAGAATAAAATATATAAGTATAAACAGAACAACAGTAAGGATGAACTAAAGACAGTTCTGGCCCTAGATGTTTACAATGATTGTGAAAGTGAATTACATTATGTCCAGCCTGTTGATAATGAATATATATATATATTTATGAGTATGTACAAATATACAGTCGTGAAGTAAATGGATCATTACAAATGAATATAAGTATGAATAAATATGAGACAAGTTTCAAGTGCAAACATCTAAAACAAAGCACAGTCCAAAATAAGTGGAAAGCAGTGCAGGTCCATGTGTCTGCGGCACAATACTTAACAATGAAGAATATACAAGAATATATGAGGATGTCAAACACAATTTTACTAGCTGCAACATTAATAGTGATTCTTACTACTTTTACTTTTGGTACGTTACTTTACTTGTAACAGAGCATTTCCACACAGTGTTATTGCTTATTTTACTTCCTGACGATTGTCTATTTCTTACTTAACTCTAGAAAACTGGACGTAAACAATGGTACATATGGTGTTAGCAAACAATAGCTCTAGCTAATGCTATCTCTGCTAACCGTAGCCTGCTAATCGTAGCTCTTCGGGCTCCATAAAAGCATGGGTTGTCGAACATAAATGTAAGGATAAAATAGGCTTGTTTGTTTATAAGTGAGCTTTACAATAGATAGGGACACAACGCTTTCAAGCAAAGAACAGAGCGTAAGCAAAAACTTACCATCCTGCATGGATGCAGGACGCCGTTGCCGAGTCCAGGCGTCGTTTCGCGTTGCGCCGTCGAGCTCCCGCTGTATTTTTTCATCCGCAACGAGATGGAGTAACGTCTGTACCTCGTCAAACGACCACGCCGTGTTTCTTTTGTTGCTGCCATTTCTTTATGGATTGGTTGATGGTAGCTTGTCTGTTTTTAAAAAACTGGCACTTGCTTGGGGACTGTCTCGCGCAACAATTGTGACGATTCTCTCTCTGACCAATCAGCAGTCGGGAGTGTTTACGTCACTGGTTTAGCATATTCAGCTCAGTAGGAACCTCAATTTTGGAGGGCCAGAAAAAAAAGTGAAAACGTACCCGTGAGCCGGAACTACCCCTGGTGGAAAAGCAACAAAAAAAACGTACTAGGCCGTGCTAGGTCCTGCAGTGGAAAAGCGCCATTAGTCATTATGAATAAAATGCCCAGGAGAATATAATGTATTTGTATATTGGCCACATTCACTACCTCAATAGTGCTTTATTCCTTTAAGAATACATATTACATACAAATACTCACTTTAATATCAGAATTCACTTCTCAAGAGCAGTTTCCTTATTTATGGTTTATTTGACTGTAGTTTGAATTGCATGAGGGTGCACGCTTTGCCAAATTCTGGGCTCATACCTATACTGTTTAAAAAAAAAAGCAAGATATGGTCGATAGCTGATTTCATAGTTTTTTGTTGTTGTTTTTTATTTTATAGTTATTTAAGTGTTTGCTGCCGTTTTCAGAAAATGGCATGTCCTTATTCTTAATAATCCACAACTACTAAAGCAGCAAGAATATGTGTGAGAAAAAAATGTTTGATCTCAAAACTGAAATAACCAAAACTTCTGCAACAACATAGTGTGCTATTGTAAGATCCCATGACTCATGGTATGAAACTAATCGGGGAAATACGTCTCCGTTTTTTTTTTACAGTTTCAACAATTCAGTCATTTCATTAGCTACTCTTTTATGTATGGGCATATTTAACCAGAAAGCTATATATATATATATATATATATATATATATAACCTATGTATTTGGATAACTATTAAAAAAAAAATGTAGACCACAACCCTATTTTCACCCTCACACCTGGTACACACCTTGTTCTGCTCGTACTTGAACGGGATCTTGAGGTTCTCCGTTGCCCGGATCATGGCCTGCATCGAGGTGAAGATGTTCTGGTAGACCAGTTTGGTGAAGCCCTTCTTATCCTCATCTGTGTAGCCGGACCCGTGGATTATTCTCATCTGCTTGATGAAGGTGCTCTTGCCACTCTCTCCAGTACCTGAAAAGAAGCAAGAAGACAAAGGAATTAGAAGACAATTTAAAAAGGATCATCAATGGATACAGGATATATACAATATTGCGAATAGGTATGAAAATAGTCCTCCAATCGCTAACAAAATAGAACGTTTTAGTATCCAGCAATCAACTGAAGAGAAAATATTTAAATGAGAAATGGAAAGACAGTTAGTGGGTGTGTCCAAATTGCCTTTTCTGTGGTCTCTATTTTTGGTTTTCCATTGGGAAAAGTTGTGACTACTACAATAACCATGTCTTGAAAACATTTCACCGCTCTCACCACCAATGCATGACGTACTGTAATATCCCCTTAGCTTTGAATTATCTATTTGAGCAGCTATCTTTTAGTTTGTCAAGGTTTTTTTCACCATGAGCACCAACCGGAGGATTGTGATAGTGATCAGCGACTTTGAGAACTTCAGAGCTTTTCAACGAGAAATGTGGGAGAAGCAACAAAAAACGCTGTGCCCAGGAAGCCACATATGCTCCCTCCTCAATGGAAACAATTAAAAAAGTTGATGCTCTCTGGACACCCAGCCTAATGTAAAACCTTCTACATTTGGCAAGAATAACAGTGAGAATAATCCATACTTATTGTAGTAGAAAAACGACTGAGAGCAAACCACCTGTGGTTTTTAAGAAGTTCTTCACGGTCAGAAAAGAATAACAAAGATTCTCAATTGTTGTTATTTTTATACAATGCTTATACAAACGGTTGAGTAGAAATGCATCCAATCATGCCCACAGGAAGTGAGCCAGACCTCAATGCCAACGCAGTCTCCATCTTACTATGACAGGACGCTGAAATGGTCATTCTTCCATATTGTGTGAACTCTTGGTTTACTTGAAGCAAAATCTTCTGTATGATTCGTATGTTATTGTATTTATAAAGTAATAAATAGATAACTCTACTTAATGATTGTGTTACAGCAGCATAGTATAGAATACACAATAAATAAGTACACTATGACTAGGGGTGTAACGGTACACGTACCCAAATTATTCGGTACGGGCCCTTCGGTTTGGTACACATGTGTACCGAAGTGTACCGAACGAATATAACGTTAAACGTAAAAAATTGAGAACGTGAACAACTTTTTGGAAGTAATCTCAGGTGCTGCGTCGCAGCATTCAGAGTAATTTGCTCACATTGGGTTCAACGCGTCATAGAGCGAGCAAGTCATTTCATTGCACGAGAGGCATACTATGAGAGCTGGTCACAGGGATGCGTTCAAATGTAGTCAGTAATTTGAGGAACTGGCGAACGCAGATAAAGTTGAGCTCGAAAATCCTCCAGCATCATTGAAGGTTTGGGAACATTTTGGTTTCGCAGTTACGTACAAGGATGACGGATAAAGACAGGTGGACTGAACCAAAGCTGTTTGTCGGTATTGTTCAACTAACATTGGTTACGCAGCTGGCAATACATCAAACTTGCACGCTCATTTGAAAAGGCATCACCCGAACGTGAATATCACCGGTACCAAAAGACTGAAGTGCAAACCCAACTCCCGCTAGCATGTAAGCCTCCACCACTCGCAGAGAGTTCAGACCGAGCCAAAGCTATTACAAACGCCAAATATCCTTATGTTGCCATGTTAGCAAAGCGCTACCTGGCTGTATCTGCTACCTCTGTCCCTAGAGAGAGGGTGTTCTCCACAGCAGGAGACATTGTTAGTGCCAGCAGATCTGCCCTTTCGGTAAGCAAAAAAAAAATACATGAAAATACAATGACAAGCAAGTCCTAAAACGTACGTGTACCGTTACACCCCTAATCATAGGATAAGATGCAACATTTGGTTTTACATATCCCCGTATTGAGGGCTCTAGACAAGAATTTAAATCAAAAGTTGGAAATGTATTTTGACCAAAGTTTCTTTAGTGATTTCGGTCGAGTCACTGCCTCTTGTCATCTTGGTTTTAGTGTCCTGAGATATGCATTGTTACAAAGCGATGTAGTCATTGTTTTGGCTGCGGCTACAGTCTTGGTAAGTGAAGCAATGCCCCATGAGTAACCACATGAGGGCTGATGGGCTCAACATAGAGCCGGGTAAACCAAGTTCATTCCTCCAATTTTGTATCACAGTGACCATGCATATGCACACATGCATAAACACACAGATGGTGTTTTTCCATACACATGTGCAGGCTGGGCTTGACTCGGTTTGTTGAGGCACGTCAGCCGAGCACAGCAAAGATTGTAATTGTTATTACAGCAGGGCTATCTGATTGAAGGTGGTCTACCTGATCAATGGTTATCACTGGTGGTCAAACGCATTTCATTTCCTATACATTCTTAATATATATTCCCTGTCATGTTTGGTGCTTACTCTTCCCTGCAATATTCTTAGGATTGTTGCTATTGTGATATAGCCACAAACAAAACTAATTTAGAGAAACATGCATCATAATTCATGTATATTTAAAAGATCGGGGGATGTCATCATTTGTACACCAACCCTCAGGTTCGAATCGCACTGGTTGCCTCGATAAGTCAATGGGACCGTTCCATTGGATTTTTGAAGCTCTGTGGGATTACGTTTTGTTAACAATACTTTCACATTTGTTTAGGAAGATAATATTCACAAAGGAGCACCACTTTTGAGGCAGAAATGAAATCCTCAAAAGGAAAATGCTACAGTTAAACCTCGCCACGGTTGAAGGACTCCACGTCACCAGCGCTAAGTAGAAGGCACTCGTTCGGAATCTGATTTAGCCACTTGTTAGCAACCAGCTCTAAGACACAACACCTTAAAAGTGTGTGTAGGGTTAGGGAACAGTGTAAAAATCTCTTGAGCTTGTGTTAACCACAAATCTGTTTACAGGCATTTAACAAAACACTTTGAAAAACCCATTGACCCAAAACTAGGGAAGTCTGGTGCTAAAATGCTAACTCGTTTCAGGGATTCAGGAGAGATCGCTGCACAGAGACTTATAAAAACGCCTCTGGTCTCATGGACACAATTTATGTTACGCTCGCAAAACAGGCATGTTTGACTGTGAGAAGGGGGGGGGTCGGTAGTCTTTGGAGAGACTTTGGAAATGGTCTCCGTCAGGTGCGGTCAGCATGCATAAACTGGAAATGGAAATCGTTTAGGAAAACCATGCTATGGCAAAATAGAAAAACTGTGTCATAGAAAAAAGCCTGCTTTAACAATACATTTAAGAAAAACAGAACCACAATAACTTCTCCAAGATGGCTTCCACAGCAGGTTCTGCATATTTTTAATGGGCATTTCCACCACTCCAGGCTTAGTGGATGAAATCGAGTTTTGTATTCTGGTCTCAGCAAATTTAAAAAGGGACGTTTAAAAGACAAGGCAGGTTGTAGTCTCACACAAACTCTCTAGTATCACAATGCAACTCATTCCTCCTCCCTTACACCCCCATATTCCACCACCTAATATCTCCTCTACTCTACCCCTCGTCTCTCCATCTCACTTCTCCTAACATTCAGTGTGAGTCACTTCAGCTTCTCTCTGATTTCCATCTTCCACTCCTGTCTTTGTTTCTACTGTGAAATATTTTCATTATACATTTCAAGATTAGTTTTTCATACAAATCAAATTATTCTGTAGCTTAAATTGTCTGTTTAAATGTATAAAGCACATGTATAAACATATAATGTACAAACTTGTTTGATTTAAATTAGCAATGTTTGATATTTTAAGGGATATTTGCAAGTTGAGATTAATAATAATATATTTTATATTACATATCGACAAATTGCTTGCAGAATTAAAAACAATATTTTAAACAATTTTCCTTCTTACTTTGATGAAGAGAATGCTTTGTTAAAATGTTTATTTAACATGCGTCTCACCCACCATTAATAACCATTAAGTACAGCTGAGGGGTGATCAGAAAGTCAGCCAGTGAAATGGGTAAAAGGAAACAACAAATAAACTTAAAGATTGGGCACCATCTGAAAAATAGAGCTATTTACTATTATTATTGACCGATATTGCAATTGTGACACAATTTGCAATATTTAAGGGAATAACATTATGGTGTGATTTGTATCGATATCTTTTACATATTTTGCCTCAACCAACTATTGCAATTTTGATCACATTTGGATTAGATTGTGCAGCCCGACAAAAAAACAAACGACAAGTGATGCTGATAATGTTTACAGCCGTACTGTCTGGGCAGGACAGTACGGCTGATTAGATCATTTGATTTGTGTGATAAGGTGCAGCTGCTCTTCCTGAGGCAGAGGAGCACAAATATCTTGCATGAAGACGAGAGTAAAGTTTGACTGTCGCTAACAGAAGAGCCCGGTTCAGTGCACAGTGAAGGAGGATCTCTCACTGATCACAGCTCAGCCAACAGCGGAGTTTCCCCTTCAGACACAGTACGTCTTTCAAAGAGGGACATAAATAGCGATTGTCAAGACACAGCACTGGAGAGTTCACTTTCTCATTGACTAAAGAGCTGAAGGAGAAGGGAGGGGGATACTGGGGTGTGAGGGAGTAAGACAAGAAAAAGTGTATTCTCTCTGCTTTCTAAGTAGAGAAACGAAGGGCGTTAGCAGAGGATAGATGCATCAGCTTGCTGTGTAATTGAACGTCTGTGTGTGCGTGTATTCATGTGTACTTAAAAAACACAGGAGCAAGGCAAGGGACAGATCGAAAAAGACAGAAGGTGCAGTATGCTGTACGGATGGTAAAGCCCAGAGGCCAGGGTGTTATGAATGTTATTTAGCAGGGTAAATAAAAATCAACATGTCTTGCAGGCATGATCAGCTTAATTCAACAGATCCTATTGTTCTCGCTGCCTTACTGGAAAACCCAGCAGAAGCATTTCTCACGGACAAGCTACTGTACATTCGCTGGAGCTGCTCCTGAGGGGTAATGCTAGTTCCCATGGCAACTCCAGTGTGGACTCATAAAAACATGGCAGAGAGCACCAGCTGATAGGCCCAGCTGATTGGCTTCAGTATGTCTCCACAGAGCAGTCAAACATTTCTTAATCCCACAA